TTCAGGTCCCAAAGAGGAGGTATGGAGTTGGCAAGGGAAGGAGACTCACATAAGCTGAGAGTGAATCAGGAGAGCTGGTTTATTGAAGAAAGGCTACACCTTTTATACTCTATGTTTGCATAATAGCTTAATCACAGGTAATGTTGAAAGTGGACTTAATGATTCCAAGAGTGTATGATCTTCTCACAGATTGTTAGGTTCAGTAAGATTCTAAGTCCCTATTGTTCTCTGAGGTTCAGCAGCCCTTTGCGTTTCCACCTACAGGCTCTCAGCCTCTGTGGTCAGGAGGTCCTAGACATTGAGTCCTGAGAAACAAACCCATGTGAGAAATTTTCATTCCATGGAGCACACCAAGCATTGAGCTGTTTCCTACTTGCATTCCTATGTGCCTTAGTTTTACAATATGGGCCTGTTCTCCTCATTCTCTCCCCAAAGGGAAGTTCCTGATAGCTTACTCTTCTTTCATTACGCAGTACCATCCTACTTCCTTCAGTGGATGCTCCTGTATATGGTAGAGGGGGATCAAGCCAGTCTAACTTCTTAACAGAATCTGCCATTCATCCCTATAAGTCACACACAGGAGAATCGGTTGTGCCCACTCTCCTATACTCAGAAACTGAACTCTTGCCCTCAGCTGCCGAGGCCTCAGACTCTGGATCTCCATTGTTTCTCTCAATTGTGTGCGTTCATCCTTGGGAGTTGGTGTCAGTGCCTAGGAGTTCCTGGAACCATCTTTCAGTTAATAAATCTTTAATGTCTCTGCTCTTGGTGCTGTGGGGCACAATGGGGGGGTCTTGTGTGGGAGTAAACAGAGTTATCACACTGTGTGGTTCCACAGTACAGAGACTTTCCCCCAAAGAGCTATTTTGTTTAGAGAGATTTCCATTGTATACTTTACACCTTCTACCAAAGCTCATACAAAATTCTGCAAAGGAAAAACAAATGCATAAGGAGACTCCCATAACACACAGTAAAAACCAAAGATGAATGCTGGAGAATTGTGGTCTGCAGTCTTGATAGGCTGGAACTTTGACAAGCAGCAGTGGTCACCATGTAGTCTACACCAGTGGAGGATAGTTTATAAAAAATGTAGAAATCTCTCAAAAAGTGTGTATGTACACGCATATGTGTGTACATGCATGTGCATGTGTGTGTGTGTGTATGTGTGTATGTGCGCCTCTGTGTATGTTTATGGGAACTGGATGATTATAGAAGTATCTCAGATAATTAGGCTGAAAGCAAAACCAGATCTCTTGGGATGTGGGGCAGGAAACAAACACGGACTAGGCAGCTGCCTCCTTCCTCCTGCTCCTTTCTCTTCCTTCTCCCTCTCTCTCCCCTCTGAGGTAGACGCACTAAACTGCCAAGATGCTGGTTCAGGAATACAGGACTTATTGTCAAGGAGGCTCTGATGGTTGGTATCTTTGCAGATGGCTTTGGCTAAGCAGTAGCCTCGCCTGAGCCCATGCTTCCTTCCAGAAATAGCTTTCTTCCATGTCTGAGGAGATTACATATCTCTAAAAGTGACTTCTTTTGCTCCAGGTTGGGACAACTGAAAAGAGATATTTCAGTTCCAGAGCTCGAGATAGAGCTGTCAGAGGCTTTTGCTAGCATCGTCCTGTCTCTCCACCTGGTCCTGCTTCCGTTCCCTCCTTCCCAGATGTTGACTTCAAGAATATTCCTCAACAAATGATCCCCCAGCAGTTTTACACAGTCTGGTTATCAGGGAGCCCACCCTGGCATGCCATGCCTCCTCATGTCTCTGACACTGCTCCTCCCTGCCTGATGTTTTTCCTTTGTGCCCTCCCCTCTCTCCCTCCCTCTTCTCCCTTCTTTGCTCTTTCCCACACACTGTGTATTGTCTCACTTCCACTTCTCTTGTAACTCTTTCAACCAGGATCCTGGTGCATGGGATATGACAACCATTCAGAGATGGTGACTTCGGCCCCTTGGTCACACTATCATAGTGGAATAGGCTCTTGGTACCCCACCCAGACTCTCATTCCCAGTTCACACACTCATTCCACAGCAACTGGGAGCAATGATCATCGACAGCTATGTGTGCCATTCTCTAGAGGACTATCCTTAGTGGAATGAAACCTCTTCTGAAGATGCCCGGAAATGATACTCTGCACTCTTAGGCTGGTGGTACAATTCATGCTCTTGAGTCCCCATGGGATGAGTCCCCATTGGGATAAGGCTGAGGCCAGGCATTTATCTATCTTTACCCAACATCCTCTCCTATTCTCTGTTGCTCTCCACTTCCTCAGCAAACCTCTCTGCTTCTAGAAATCCCAATTTAAAATTATCACCTTGCAAATCTGGTGTCTGTATTAAAAGCCCTAGCCTCTGTGGTCCTAGTTCCAAACATTCAAGGGAGATAATTGACTTGGGGTGCACCCAGACCCAGTCATCTGTGGCCAGAGGGGACTAGAGTTGAATCTCAGTAGGGTCTTAAATTATTTTCTCTGTCTCCTCAATCTTTTCTTGCCCTGTCGACAGTCCCACACATAAGTTGGAGAGTGAAAACTTGAAAGACAACACCTTATGACAGAAGGTAGACAGGTATGGATGACAGTCTGAATTCAACCAGCTCACCTCCCAGCTCCATGTTTCAGGCTTTAAGGTAAATGACTAACTCTGCATGGTCAGCAGACTGTGGGTGCACAGTCTCTGCATTCTGGAACAATGGTTGGTACAAGGTAAGAACACCAAAATGGCATTGAGAAAAGTAGCTATCCTTTAAAAAGTAGAGTGGGGTCCAAAAGTACGTAATGTGCTGGGTGGGGTGGGGGGTGAGGAGGGTAGGAGGAGGCTACCAGGTAAGTATTGTGTGGAGAGTGTTCACACAGACCATTCTGCTCACACGTGCTTCATTTACCCTCTGACGACTGCGGACGTATCACAGATCACCCCCAAACGTATCCATTTAAAACAACCACTTTATTATTCTCATAGAGTCCGGGTCACGAATTTGGGCAGGGATACTGTGGATGTCTTGCTGCTCTTTAATGGCTGCCCTTTAGGTAGGAAGGTCTGATGTCTGGCAGGAACTTGACTGAAGAGTCTGGAGCTGTAGGCTTCACAGAACTGGTGGTTGATGGTGGCTGTTGGTTGTAACACCAGCTGGGCCTGTGGGGTTTGGTTTTCAACAAAGAACAATGGCCTCTGGTTAGTAAGACTTCTTATGCAGATGTTCTGGGCTCTGCAGGCAAGTGTCCCAATTTGCAAGGCAAGAAAGAGTTCATGGTTTTTATGACTTAGCAGGGAAGCCAAACTATCACTTTCACCAAATTCAATGTATTAAAAGCAAGTCACCAATCATTCAGGTGAGTTCGATTCTACCTCTTAATGAATTTGGGAAGGGGTCTCACAGGCACAGGGGTTTCCAGGTGTGGTAGGGGCTATATTTGGGAAATACCAGCTGCCATTCACGGGTTTTCTCATTTACTCTTCTCCTCAGAAGTAGGTCTTGTTATCCGTCTTTACAAATGAAGAAGTAGGCTCAAGTGGGTTAAGTACTTTGCCTGTTGCAAAGCCTGTTCGTGGCAGAGCTGGGTTTCAACCCAGACTGTACAATGCAGGCATCCTCCAGCAGCATATGATGTTGCTTATTAGTACAAAGGAAAAGGCGTTCCAAGGCCAGTGAAGGATCAGGAATTAAGCTTTCCTCTCCCCTATAACTCTGAAGCCAGATCTAGCATCTTTTCTATATGGGTAATAAAATTCTGTCTTTGTGCATGATGACCCAGGGTGTTGCTTCTTTGGAGACTGATTATTATGGAGACCCCTGATGCTTCAGGCTACCAGACTTATCTTGGACAAAGAGTACTGCTGTCTGCCTACCTCCATTCAGTGAGAACATAGCAAGCTCAAAAGCCCCTCATAAAGGCAGCACACACAACCAGTTTGTGCCAGTAATGTCTTCCCTACACACCTCCTTTTGCATCTTCCCTTTGCATCTTTCCCTTTAAGTAAAACAAAGAGCATAGCTTCCCCAAAGTTTCTCTGATTATTCCCAGATAATCAAAATCTAGAATTTTCAGATGATTCTTCACACTCATTGCTTAATCTATAGATATTTTTGTATATTTAGCCTGCTGCCATTCTTTTTCCAAGACTACAGAGGTCAAGCATCGTACCACCCTCCTGTATTAATTACCTACAACCACACCATATTCTGAACAAGTACCCAATAAGTATTATGTAGGTCAGAAGGACCTCTGGGTTTATTATAAAAGGAGTCACTCATTTCCCCCCCTCAAAACTCTTTTGTTTTATGCTGGGATTGAACTCGGGGTTTCACACATGCCACGGGATTACTTTTCCATGAAACTATATCCCCAGGCTATGAAAAGCAATTTTGGAGAGCCTACTATGTACATAACAGGCATTGTGCTAGCTACTAATGACTCAAGTGATCCAGAAGCAGGAATCTAGAAAATCAAACATGAGCCTTGTAGGCACTGTGTGGCAGGTCAGTTACAGCAAATCCAGTGTCTAGAAGCAAAATGTCCTCCTCCAGATAGAGAGGCCTCCAGAGCCAGCATGTTGGAGGCAAGTGCTCTACATAAGTTACAGTCTACCAGCTGCCAGGAGACTCTAGAGTTAGATATTTTAAAAGTCCCAGGTCAGGGGCTAGTCAATCCTAAAACTTAAATTTCTTCTATAAAATGGCTGAGTGGTATTTAGCCCAGGCTATCAGGTAGGACAGGATGGTCTTCCTTCTCATTACAGGTTAGCCTTAACATAAAAGGCAAACTCTCTCCCTCTCATTGAAGGGTGTTACCCTGTCACCTTTAAATGTCCCTAAAAGTCGTGACTTCTGAGTGTTCAAAATCCATTGAACAAACCCAGAGAAATATGTTTATAAATTATGGGAAACTATTTTCATTTGTTATCTTTACTCAATACCATAAATCCTTGATCCAAATATAATCCTAGTGTAAAAAACTATTTCCTCAACATACAATCAACAAGAATCAAACAGCTCTTGTAAATAATTACCTTTGGGATATGAAAGAAAATGTAAACATTTTATTTGGCAGTTGTTTCTGAACACGTGAATAAATAAATGGAAAAGTACATATGAATATTTCTTTTCGGAGTAACAGATACCATTAAACGCTTATTTACATATCTTCACTGCAAAGAACAGTAACATAATGAAACTTTGTCTTATAAAAGGTAACTTCCCACACCACTGGACTGGACAGTTAAGGATGGTGATACTGGTAGTATTGGCTTTAGCAGTCTCAATGTTGAAAGGTATTCATCTGCAAGTGTGATAAGAAGAGTCATCATGCATCGAGTTCATCCAGGTCACGCACTGTAGAAAGTTTCCGATGGCAGCCATGGAATTTGGTGTCTCATGCGCTTAAGTCAACTATGACATGTTTGTAAATCTGTGTGTTTCCCTTAAAACTGGAAGCAAAGAGAAAATTACGCTTATTAATGGACACGTGTGTGAATGATCTGGGTGCCTGAACATTTAATTCCTGAAACTTCACAAATTTGGCTTTTTCTGCATCCCAGTTATACACTTGAGTAAAGGAGTAATCGCTTCCAAGAATTGCATATTGGTAATTATTTATCTGAAGGGGCTGGAACACCATGGATCCTCGAGATGGCATCCTCTGAATGTCCTGGAAGGAGGAGCCACCCCACTTCATGACTTTAGAGTCGCCAATGAATCTGGTCAAGCAAATGTACACATCACCTTTCACAGAGAAGTGCTTCACAGCGTACACATCCTCCATGTTGGGAATGTCAGTTTGGTTAGTGAATAATTGTGTTGCTTTGCTCCATTGGTAAATAACAGGGCGCTGAGAACTACTGGACAGAATTAAATGAGGTGTTCTGAGGGTCAATGGCGGTCTGGCTATTTCTAGGTATTCCACATCAGTATCCCTGTACCAGGCATGTAAGGATTGATGAGAGTAGAATCCATTTCCATTCCATTTGTAAATGGTAGTAAACCCAGCTTTGGAACTGTCAGCAACAACAAAGTACCAGTTGTCTTCAATCTTGAATGTTTCGATGTCATTGGGTTTTCGGATTTTGAGAACTTCAATATCTTGGATTTTTATGAATTTGTTTGCAAAACCATCACGCTTATAGATATGAGAGCCACCAAACAGCTGGGCCACAATGACATAGAGCTGAGTGTCAATGACTATGGGCTTGCACACCACAGTGGACGTGCCTGAGGAGAAACAAATGAGACGTTAGATGTGTGGGTACCCTGTTCTGGAACATGTAAACCAGTGGTTCTCAGCCTCTGGATCACGAAAGGGAGATCAAACAAACCTTTCACAGGGGTCGCCTAAGACCATCAGGAAACACAGATATTTACATTATGATTAATAACAATAGCAAAATTATAGTTATGAGGTAACAAAGAAAATAATTTTATGTCTAGGGGTCACATAACATGAGGAAACGTTTTAAAAGATCACAGCATTAGAAAGGTTGAGGACCACTGATATAAATGCACAGGCTGGAGTTGGAAACTTCCACAGAAATCAGCCTAAAATGAGAGATTCTCTTGGATTATTAGGCAGGACCAATCTCTAAGGCTTTTACACCCATGGGGCCTTGTTATGAACAATGACATTGTCAGTTATGTCCAGTGTGCTGTAGACAGTTAGGGTGTACATAAATGACCAGAAAACTCTTTCTTTTCACTCCTTGCAGAGAGTCTTGTTTTCCTTGACATAACTGATTTCATTTCTCCCATTATAATTAAAAATTGCCATTTCTGAACATATGCTTTATCAAAATATTACATTATTCCAATAACCTTGAGATAAATGCTGTCTTCCTTTTTATATCTTTGTGTGTGCATGCTCGAGCACTCATGTGTGTATCTGTTTGCTTTCTGAGACTGAGTTTTGCTATGTTGTGTCCAGGCTGGGATATCTCAGACTTGCATATCTCCAACTTCCTCCTCCCAAATGCTAAGAGTAAATGTGTGCACCACCATGCCTGCTCATCTTTCTTTTTCTAGATGATCAAACTCCTCTGGACTCAGAAGGGCTAAGTTCTGCTACCAAAAGACAGAGCTGTGATCCCAACATGGGCCTATCAGAGTCTTTGGCTTATCTATCTATCTATCTATCTATCTATCTATCTATCTATCTATCTATCTATCATCTATCTATCTATCTATCTATCTATCTATCTATCTATCTATCTATCTATTTATTTATTCAAAGTCTCCTTTGAATTCTTGGTTGGCCTGAGAGTATTTACTGTAAGGACCAGGTTGACCTAGAGCTTTAGGACACTGGCTATAGGAGAAAAATAAAAAGGCAGAGGAACCCTTGTGACAAGGAAAAGAGGAAGAGGGCACTGCTCCTTAAAGTTATTTAGGGAAAACCTCAGATAACAATAAAGGGTCTGCCAGTGGCCTATGTTAGTATCTGTTAGCTAAGAGTATAACACTTATGAATACAGTGTTAACTTCTAGAAGGAGTTTAACACTTGGAAATCCAAAGACCTACAGAGAAAATCTACCCCAGACTTTTCTGACTCTAACTCTAGGGCACTGAGTCTCACAGGAAATCTTTCTACTATTCTGTGTGTGCCACCCATGTGCACATGTGTGCATGTGTGTGTGCACGTGTATGCGTGTGTGTGTGTGTGTACATGTGCACACATATGCATGTGTGTGTACAGATACATGTGTGTATGAGTGCACATGGAGCTCAGAGGTCAAACTTCAGATGTCATTCCTTGAGCACTGCCATCTTGGTTTTGGAAGTAGGGTCTCTCACTGGGACATAGAGCTCCCTGATTAAGATAAATTGACTGGCTCATAGTCATAGAAATCCTTCCGTCTCTGCCTCTTCAATGCTGAGATTACAGGTGCACATTACCATACCCAGTTTTGTTTTTTTTTAAAATATGTTTTGGGGATTAGACTCAGATTCTCACACTGAAATAAAAAACATGTTACCAATTAACCTATCTCTCTAGCCCCTAGTTGTGACTTCTTTGAGAACTAAACTTACTGTGCAACCTACAGAGGATGACAACTTCTCTGGGGTCAGTTTTTTTTCTATACAATAAGGGTTAGAATGTGTTAGGGAGGCCATCAGATCTCATCTCTGGTGCCCATATTGACTGACCGAGTGGTTGTGACTGCTTGGTGAGTTTGTGTTGAGAAGGATTCGTTGGCTACATATGTATTCTGCAAGAAACGGTGTCACAGGCAGGTAGTGATGCCTGTCCATAGCAGAGAGACTAACGACCGTATCATGTTTTATTTGTGATCTGCCTGTTTTGAATATGTGCGAATCTCCAGACTCGCATTGAAATGTAATCCTCCGTGGGACAATATGAAGACCCAAGACCTCTAAGAAGTGATTAAATCACAGCAATACAGTCCTCATAAAAGGGCTTGAGAGAGTTGTTTTAATGTTTTAACTCTTCCCATTGCCCTGTGCATCCATAGAAAAGAGGCTATCTTTGAAGTGAAAAGCAAATTCTCACAAGACACTGAATCTGTTGCACTTCCCAGCTCCCAGATCTCCCAGTGAGAAATACATTTCTGATGTTTATAAAGAACCCAGCCTGAGGCACTTCATTACAGAACCAGGAACAGACTACACAATCATCTAAAGAAAGCCTTCTGAAAATTTACAAGCAGCGGACTCATTCAAGTCAAGTTCTAGTCTACAGTGTCTTCCAGAGCAAGCTGATCGTGGCACCACACGCATGGAATCCTAATGCTTGGGCTGAAGCAGGAGGATTGCGGGTTCAAGGCCAGCCTTGATGACACAGCAAGATCCTGAAACAAACAGTGTCTTGTGCACACATCAGAAGACCTCAGGTTAGACAGCATAGAACCTGGCTGCTACACATTGGAAAATCCAAGAAGAAAGAGAAACACGACCTTCCTTGAATAAAGGACTATTTGGATATCTGACAGTGGATGGGCTCGAAGACCACTGGCAAAATCTAATTAATAATTATAACCTTATAATTGTACCTTGTCTAGTGCTAAGTCTTTTAAGTACAGAGTCTTACTATATATCCCAAGCTGGCCTTAAATTCACAATCTTTTTGCTTCAGCCTTCTGAGTTCTAGGATTACAAAGGTTTGACACCCTGCCCAGCTAATGGTGGCCTTTTATGAGGAGGTTGGGCTGTTCTTAGGAGCAGGTTTCAAGATGTTAGAAAGCAACAGCTTTCAGAACTGTTTTGATTGATATTTTACAATTTTAAAAACTGTTGAGGGGGGCTGGTGAGATGGCTCAGCGGTTAAGAGCACTGACTGCTCTTCTAGAGTTCATGAGTTCAAATCCC